AACGACGTATCACACATGGGGGGTCGCTATTTAAGATTTAAAAGTTGGGGTGGCTGGGGCGCAGGGGGTTGGAGGGGGTGCATCGCCAACTATGTCATTGTGATTCCCCCTCCGAATTACCGAAACGGATTTTGATTTTTTTAAATATCTCGTTTATTTACTAAGATATGGGGGGTGGTAAGTTTTCAAATTGTCATCCTGTATACGAATAATCGCGCAGATGCCGTACCCTTCATTTAAAGGTAATGAACGGAAACGGAATAATGACTCTTTTGTTATAGTGAATAGCTGTTGAGAGGTGGATGTGTATAACTAAAACAACTCATTTTGTTAATATTTATTAGCGTGTGGGCGGTAGCTTCAAAGTTACACATCTCGACAGTTAAGTGGAACTTGACGTACTGCTAAAAGCATCGAAGTTATATATCGTATTGAGAAAATTACGAACATTATCTTTTTAGTGTGCAGTACATGTAAGACCGTGGCAATTTGCGAGACAACTTTTTCCCTTGTCACGAATGCTTTAGCTACCTAACTAAATAAATGCGGTATTTTGGAAACATTGTAGAATTCAATGGCTAAATTTCAACGTGTTAAAATTCTATACCAAACGTCATAAGAAAATACATAAAAGTTATAAGCTGTGAATTTGTTTTAACTTTTGTATAAGTTGAACCATCCTGCAGGGACACTGTTGAAGGTCTAGGACGCATAAGATAAATGTGAGGGATGATTTTTGTTAGTTAAGGTGTCCGAAATCACAATTTGGAAAGTTGATTATATGTCCACTTAATAAACTACAATGGGTTATATGAAAACATATCGGTAATAGTAATTTACATAAAAGTCCGAAAAATGCACATTATTGGCGAGGAAATATTAAAGCGTGAGGCCCCTTTGGGTCCGAGTACTTTTATTTCCGAGTCAGGCGATGTTATTTTAGTGACGAGTTTTGTATTAAATTTTACCCGAAATCGTATTTTACCCAAAATCGTCCTGAAACCTTCATTTTCATGCATACTTTCTGTCAGGTAATTTTAGTTTCCATGACAGAGGCAGAGCAGACTACGTTTCCTGCCGCTTGTCAATTTACCGGCCGCATTTGTGACATTTTCAAATGTCTATATAATGACTGCCGTCATCACTGACATATTAACATTAATCAAAAGTTCTATATAAAAATTGAAATTTTATATTAAAATACGATTTTGGGTAAAATTTAATACAAAACTCGTCACTAAAATGACACTACTTGCCCCGGAAATTAAAGTACACGGCCCCTCGTCCTTCAATATTAACTCGCCAGTAATGCATCATTTTCCTGACTTTTATGTAAATAACTGTTATTATAAAATTTCAATTTTTATATAGAACTTTTGATTAATGTCAGTCTGTCAGTGATGACATGACAGGAGTCATTATAGACGTTTAGTAATGTTATAGATGCGGCCGGTAAAGTGACAGGTGCGGCCAGTAAAATGACAAGTGGCCGAGAACGTAGTCTGCCCTGTCTCTGTCATGGAAACTAACATTTCGTGACAGAAAGTAGGCATAAAAAATGAAGGTTTCAGGACCATTTTGGGTAAACAAAATTTTCTATCTGTACTAAATAGCGTACAGATTCGTTAATACTTCTCTTAATAATTCATTTTTCTCTTCGTAATTTTGACGTAGAGAGTTTATCGCAAATTAAAAATTTTCTAAAAATCCGTCTTTATCGCATGGGACAGGGCGTAACAGTTTTATTTTCTCAAGTGGATGCATATAAATTATTTTTGGTTAAGTATTACTGTAATTTTTGTTCGAAGACCAACGGATTGCTATTTGTTGATTTTTAAAGGCGTTGGTAGACGACAACTTTTAAGCGGGTTGTATTAATAAATTGCACATTTTTAAATAGAATCATATTCTGGCGATTCTCGAATTCTCCCATTTTGGAGGCTTTAAATTGGATTTATGAAACACGTAAGTGACAGCCATTTGCTAAATCAATCTCGCGGATTCTTTTTAGGAATTCTTTTCACTTTATATATGTGGAGATTAGTAGCAACACTGCCTTTTTAAATATTTTGTGTACATCAGTTTGATCAGTAAAAGGAAACGTGTTTCATTTTATCTCGTTGCTATTACGTTGTTCCGTCTGTCTGTCCCCAAAATATTATGGACCCAGCACACCGGCGTCGCGAATGAATTTTGAGAATTTTTATAGTTGTTCGTCCGGTTATTTTTTGCAGTTCTGAATGACCAGTGAATGATGGCGATTTTGGTTGGCAGCCTTCCAGAAGAGTATGAAATCTGGTCACTGCTCTGAGGGCGCGGCCGGAAAATTGATTGACGAGTGGCAGAGAAGGGCAAATCGTGCGAATGGTGGTAACAGTGTTGCATACTGAGACTGGACATGAAAGTTTTTTTAAAAAGCAAATGTCGAAAACGTTGGACAAGCTACGCAATTACATCGAGATGGTCAACACCAAATTCGGTAAGAAGCCTATAACGGAAGCCAATCGATTTTAAGTTTAAGGATCAGTGCTCTTAATTATGAGCCGGCCTAAAAGTCTGGTTACCGAGTGGCAAAAAATTCCCCTACTGAAAATCGTATGCGATTCTTCGTGTCTTGTTTTTTCTAGAAGTCAACAGCAGATTTCGTTCTAGACAATCTATGAGATTGTGTGGAAGATCGTATAGAAACCTGATCGATGATATCAAACAGCAATGTTCAAGCGATAATATAACAAAAAGGCGGTCATGGTCATGGCTCTAGCTAGACAGACATACAAGAAGTGCTTAAGTTGTTCTGCCATCTCCCATGTTCAAGAACAGAAAAGTCCTTACTATTTATGTAATAAAATTAAATTTCCTTCTCGTTTTAAACGTACATACTAGAATATTTACATGTAATTGCGGAGGATATCACTTTATTCCTACAAGTAAAAGTGCAATAATGTACCTACATCGCTCAAGATATTAGCATTGTACGATTGTGTGGGAAATATTAGATGTCAGTACACTGTATTCGTGCCAAAAAGGAAAGTGCAAACAATGTCAAAGCCTTCCTTAACCGCATCGCATGGAAACTGTATGCAATGGTCAATGATCCATCAATGTAAAATATTGTAATCAAAACCAATTATGTTAAGACTAGGAAGAACGAAGAATAAGATTAGATAAATAAGAAACACAGTGTGTTCCGCCCAAAAACTGGATAATAAACACATTACAAGAACCAAGAACGGTATGCATACTAAAATATTGAAATAAAACAATATCAATATTCGTGAGGAGGAATGTATATTTAATGGTCACAGGCCTCCTTCGCCAACAGTCATCGAGGCTCACTATAAGAACTAATTTAATGGAAACCTATAATTATTTTTGCGACTAAACGAGTTTCGCGCATTTGAAGACCAAGATTTATAATAAATTCCGTTCACGCTGCGTTTATTGCATTTGCATTTTAACGCATTGCTGAATTGAAAAACCAATAAGTCTAGCTTATATGACGGCTAGCGTAGTGTAAATACACCCACTCGCCTAATAACTGACAGGCGCATACCCCCAATTTACACTATTATTAGAACAATTTTCTTGGCCCATCTTGCCGTTGTACATAATAATCCAATTGCGCGTCTCTGTCTAACGGTAATCTCGGAATTTTAATACACATTTAAAACTAAATACTAAGAACGTTTGAATGATTAAGTGTCTGCTTGGTTAATTAAAGATCAACTCGTGCTAGGAATAAACTAAAGTACCTATTTCCATTTCCACCCATCAGATGAGCTGTAATAAACTTAACTCATAACAGTTTTATTTTTGGACCAAATTCTTCATTTGCATGAAGCCTTCCCGTTTTTGTTCACTTTTGCGAATTTTTACAATACCTACGTGTATGGGTCGTACAAACTTGTATGTAAATTTTAACGACAGAGAAAGTAAATTTATTCGTTTTTAATTTAGAATTAAGAGCCGCCATATTTCATTCCAGACTAAATGAATGAAGTAACAGACACAAGAAACGGGGGAAAAAAACGAAGAATGATTAAGTATTTATTATTCCTATTTTTTGTAATTTAATCGAGCTCCGTCATTTTATTTGACGATAATTCGACTGTCAATATTTAATTAGTATTCGTGTCGTAACCGTTTTTAATTCAAGAATTCTAAAGGATGGTCTTTCGAGTTACACGAATATTTTAATTAACATTATTTGTATATGTATAAATGTGGGTTGATGAGATTGTTTTCGCTGCATTCAAACATAACGGATTCTTGTATCTTACAACAATTTATAATTAGGGATCAAGATCCGTTCGTGTTTACAATCTTAATTAATTTTTCGCAATTAATGGTGTTGTGGTTAATTGCAACTTGAAATTGGCGGTTTGTTGCTGAATAATTGGAAGTGCTGTTCTATTTCTACTATAATTTTTTTTCCAATTTTGTAAGTGGACATCCTACATTGAAATTCTTCGTAGAGTAAACACGTGTGGGTATTAAAGCTATCGAAGCATCAGGAGAAAAATGTGCTTAATTAATTAAATAACTTCTAGTGTGAAAAAGTGTATTTTGGCTGCGCCCAGTTAGAATCTAATTACGTAACATACTGTTGTGTACATAAAATGTAATGCTTCGGTACACTATTTGTTCTTTTTTGAGAAATCGCCTCAATTCAGATTTTCATTTCCGTCTAAAAGCCGTTTTGTTCATTCTTAATTGGAAGAAATATAGAATTGTGTTCTACTCTTTATTTCGTGCTGTCAGTCCTTAAAATACAATCTACTTCGAACATTCCCGACTATACGAAAAAGTATCAAGCAAATCAATAGGGATGTCAACAACTTCTGTTCATTTAAATTAAACGAGGTATCAGGCGCAACAAAGTAAAGCTTTTCTGTAAAAGTCTCATTGCTGTTATAGGAATCGTGTACTAATGATCAGGTTTCAATACACAAATATACTCACTATCGATGCAAACCGTCGTGATCCCCCCATCCTCCCTAATTTGTGCAAATTGGTAATAATGCCCTAAAAATTCGTTTAAATAATTTTTCTAAAGTTGAGTAAGATTTAATTTAATTTATTTAATCAACCTTTGTTTAGAAACATCCCTTTGCGTAACAGGAAAAATTATGGACTGGCATAATAAGGCAGCATTTAGTTGTTTTTATTTCAGAAAACAAATGAGTAACGAAAAACAAATGAATTTTTTTAAATGGCAGTGCACCTTTTCATTGGACTCTCTTTTCGATTATGTAACATGTTAGTACCCTAATTGTTCATAAAAACTTAATTTAATTAATTAATAATTTAATTTAATAATCACATCAATAACATGAATCTCGAAATGCTACATCAAAATAAAACAAATGAATGTGTACGTTCGTTACCATTTTATTGCTAATTTCATTTGGTCTTCAAGGTTTAATAAGAAACAAATTAGAAGACCAAACCGACGATAGGATGATCCGCCGTGTAAAAAGTTACATAACACAACTATCTACACAAAATCTCCCAGATACCCTAAATTGTCTACACAACCTGTATATTAATCTCAAATGAAAGCGACCCACACCTATGGAACACTCCACTTTTACTTACTACTTTAATACGCCCTACATTAAATTAACATCATGTACTAATCTTCAACCTTCCCCTAACAAATGATAAAGCTAACCCTGACGTCAAAACAAGATAAACATTAATTAAGGTAAAGGAATCTTCCCAACTAGCAATATTCCTATCGAGATAATACAGCTCGAGTAAGAAAGCATGATAAGCACCCGCTCGCGAACCCACGTCTTTGTTCAATTCGATTTGCTGCACTTTCCCGTAAAATAATTCCAGTGCGTTTTTCTCCGTTAATAGGATGCATAAAAGCGGGAACGACAAATTTAAAAACTACCAAGTAGATATATTACATCACAACTGCTGGACAGTTTTATTTTTGCCATTATTTTGCATAAAAAGGAATTTAACCGAAGTTGTTTCCCAGTAGTGTCCAAAAAAATTTACACCGTTTAGGTAGAAAAACTTTAATTTTAAATAGGGGTGCCAACTGCAGTTGGTACAGATAATCATATTTTAAAACTATAAAGGTGCCGGAGTTTGCACAAAAATCAGTAAAAATACAAGTTTTTCAAGGTTTAAATGTCTATGGTCCCCATTTTACAGGGTAACCTTATGGAAACTGCATTTAAAAGCAAGCAAGTGGAATAATAAAAAAAATTAAGTATTTAAAATACGCGGTCCCGGAAGAACTTTGTATCACATTATTTTCTTGCACGTAACTATTTCAAATAGACACAACTTTTACTAAAATTTACTAAAAAAGTGGACGGTTTCTAATAAATTTTAGCATGTAGAATCCAAAAAGTTTACACCGCTTAATATCTGACCCTCAAGCAGAGTAGGTAGGTAGATTTCTGTTCCAATATCACTAATTCACGAATTTGACCGAGATATGAGTTATACCAACCCTTAAAGTTGTAACATAACATTTTCAAAAATCTTATGGTAGATCAGTTGCCTATAAACCAGGTACCAACTTACCCATTTTCTAAATTATGTCCTATCAATCAAGGACGTCTTCTTCTTCTTATCACAGGAATTTTTGCGAAATAAAGGAAAGGTGGTGGACAATTTTAGACGTAGAGACAGATTAGAACGTTGATTCCATGAGACTACTACCCAAATTTGTAAAATATAATTAAATATTTTCTGAATTATCAGGATTTGTTGGGTAGTAGCAAAATAGAAGCAGTATTTTGTTCTGGTGCTTAACAGTTAGTAGCGTTTTGCTTCTTACCCATATTTTGGGATTTACGGAATTTTAGGCCACATGTGTCACCACTGTGGGTAAGATAAACTCCTTATCCTCATATCATTAGTTAACGTGTTTTCCCTTTTAGCCAATATTAGATTAGAATTTATTTCCATATAAAAAAACCACCGTACCAAGTTGTAACAGCCATAACATCTAGGTAGGTAGCTGTTGTCCGAGATGAAGTCGCTTATCGACTATTCTATTCTAGCTGTTTTAATTTTTTCCTTTAACTACGAGCATTCGTTGTCCACTGGACCACTCACACTCCTTCCACAGTTCCACCAAGGAATCAGGAGCATTTCTTGCTACTGCGTATTTATTCAACTACGCCAGCAGACCGCAAAAGACCTCGGACTCCAACCTACGAAACTACCCCTCCCCTACGAATGCAAAGGTCAGATCTATTACACTTATTATGTACATTACCATCTAAAGAAGACACGAAGTAGAATTATTATCATATCACCTCATTCGTAATAATCTTGTGTTTCAATTTTCACCACCAATTTGTCAGGGTTGAATTCGTTGGGTAAAGGTAAACGTTAGGTTATGTATTTATGTGTACCGGGTTATACAGGGTGCGGATAAATAGCCGGCTGTTTCCCAGGACCCGTGAGGAGCGCTCTTAATTATTCTTTGCGTGTTATATGAACCACTGTAGGTGAAGTGGTAAAGGCGAATTAACCTCTCTTTTTGCTCGTATAATAACAGATTTTCCTATTTTGTACACTGCATATCTCATACCTCGATCAATGTAATTACATTTTGTACAACAAATTATACACGCATTAATTTCCCGTTGATTAAACGACCTTGCCGCCATTTTGTTTAACTTATTATATAGGGTCATAGCGATTTAGGAACAGCTTACTCTGCCTGATCAGCAGAGTCAAGTGCTTGGTGGATCTGGCGCCCTGAGCAAATGAGCAAGCGTTAATCAGCAATATAAGTACCCTTAGGCAGCTTACACTTTTTGGTGTACAGGTATACCCGCGACCTGCTGACGCTAGCTGGTGTATGGTCATCTCCATTTAAGCATGACTGATTTTAGGTAGTAGACGCTACAAAGTTTGGTCGAAATCGGTTTATAATTACGAAAGTTTGAGTGCTTCGTGGAAGTGATATATACAGAGTGGCTAATATAAAGATGGAACCAAAGCGCTACCGTGAAAACGGTTGGAGATATAGGTTTGAAAGTTTTAGGACTTAAATAAGATGTGTTTGTGCATATTCTATCATGAAATAGTTATGTACATAAAAGTCAGGAAAATGTCACATTGCTGGCGAGGAAATATTGAAGTACGAGACCCATTGGGGCCGAGTACTTTAATTTCCGCGTCGAGTAATATCATTTTACTGACGAGTTTTGTATTAAATTTAACCCGAAATCGTGTTTTAATATAACAGTTTAATTTTTATACGGAACTTGATTCATGTCAATCTGTCATTGATGACAGTAGTCATTATAGACATTTACCAATGTCACAAATGCGGCCGGTAAAGTGACAGTGCGGCCGGTCAAGTGACAGGTGCGGCCAGTAAAGTGACAAGCGCCAAGAAAAGTAGTCTGTTCTGCCTCTGTCATGGATACCAAAATTTCCTGATAGAAAGTAGGCATGAAAATGAAGGTTTCAGGACGATTTTGGGTAAAGAAAATTTTTCTCCTGAATCGTTTTTTAACGCGGTCGCCATTTTGTGTTTTTTTAAATGGCAACATAGTTCTTGCAACACATCGTTGGAAAGCTTATTTTACCTTCATTTTGTATGCACCTTTTAATTCTGAACAACTTTTAACTCTACAGTTTTTTCTGTAAAATGTACCGGAGGGCAGAATATTGCATAAAACTAATTTCCTATGTTAAATCCCTATGTTCCTACTTACCGTGCACCACCCGGTATATCACATGTAACAAGCCTATTGAAAATGGGTCATATCCAATGACGCCGTAGGATCTCATCGACGTGCCCTGACACTTTTTTAGATACTCTTTAGGGGTTTATTTTATTTCTGGGAGACTTCCACACAATTTGGATAAATTCCCGAAATGTACACTGAGTGGCAATGCGGAAAGTGGACGATTTAAGAACCAATGATTAAGATAAAAAAAAGGACTTTTATTTTTACACATCATAAAACTTGTAAGTAGGTAGGTAATTTACAAGTAAATTTTCGAAATTGTCACAGGTATTTATAGTACTTACACGTACCCTAAAATGAGTAAAAACGAACACGAAAATATTTTAATTGGTAAATATATGGGCGAATGTTGGCAATGATTTCGTGTTATGTGGCGCAAATTGCGCTGTAAAGCAATAAAGATAATTCGTACCGCCATTTTTGAGTATAACTCAGGCGGTTTTGATACGCGTAAAAATCCACTAGCCATAAAGTTATAAAAAATTATACGAAAGAAATCTTCGCACTGATCCTATAAAATGCAGTTTTGTTAGTAAGCAATAAAAATATATAATGAACCTTTTCCTTGAGGCTAAAAAGCTTATAAAACTGCTGCCGCCTCCTTCGCCCTCTATATAAAGCTCTCAATAGCGACATTAAAATTCCATTTATAAAATATTTAGTAGGCTCCGCTGTTAGGGTTTTGATATTTTGTTTTAATAATAACAAAATTGAAAAAATCTCAAAACGCGCACACATCTACTTAAAATCCAATTTTCCGTGTTTATACAGCGTCGTAAACTAACCTAAAATTTGACACAGTTTATGACCGAGAGCTGCTAACTTTCTAAAATACTTTCCGACACGATATTCTGTAGTGAATTGTTGCTGATTTACAGGCAAAAAACAACGAAATTGCTTAGCTTAAAATTTGCAACCCCTCGATCGAGTCACGTGATCTCGTAATCTCGTATGTCTGTTGTAATCGAACGAAAACTAACTTTCACGATAAATTAAGGGTTATAAAATGTTTATGGGCCAATATATTCTCTCATTTCGTCCATTCATCTGTAGACTTCTTAATAGATTGGTTAAATATTTAAAGTTGGAAACGTGCATCCGAATGGTATTAGTAAATTTACACTTCGGAAACAATTTTGTGTGAAGCTGAAGGGCGAGACGTTGTGCTGCTTATGACTTATTTATGAACCATCATGGCTTGAGGTAATTTACGTGATTGCGCTACAAATCTTCTCTTTCAAGAAGTCATATGCTTGCTTATAAAGTTTGCATGCAAGGGCTTTACTGCTATAAAGGGTTATAGGTGCTATATTTCCTATACAAATCAAACTAAGCTAGCGCGCTTGGGCATTTAGCAATTAAATCGCTTTATGGGAGGTTATAATTACGAATATTCAATTATAAGACAAAAAGTTACGATAATGAATTAGTTTATTTTGGTTACAAGGTTTTGTGTATCAGTAGATTCGACTATCACGTACCATTGAGGCATTTTAACACTCTCCGTGAAAAAAAAGCTAAGGGAGACCCTTCTGAGTAACCAATCGAAGAATTAGCAAGACACTGATTATGAACGATTTTGGGGGTGATGTGTTGTTCATTCCCAATAGTACTAGCTATAGGTAGTAAGTGGTGTGCGAATATGTTTGTTTTTTTTTCTCTTTTTTTATCTTTTTAATAAGACATAGCTGAGGGCCTGTAACATTCAGTATTATATGTGTCTTACTTTTGGTTGGCTAGTGTGTTTGTTGTGTATATATATTATAGTTCATGTATATTTTATATTTTGTTTGATGTTTTTTTTTCTACTGTGAGAGGATGTAGGAAGAACGCCGATGATTAGATTCTTAGGCGATACAGTCTTTTTGGCTTTTGGGCATATTAATTTGGAATGGATTTATTAATTTTGTTAGTTGTGAACTCCATTTGCCAATAAATGCATATTATTATTATTATTAAATACGGTACTGGAATGAAATAAGGATATTCCTACTTCTTGTCCATATCCATCGCGTCCATTGGATGGACCTTCCAAAGAATTTGATACGAACTTGATGGGCTTGGGAATAACATGATGAATCTGAGATAAATTAAGAACTGAGAAGTCCTAAACACTATAACCTTTTTAAGGTAAAAATTTTATGAATCTACAAATATAAACGAAGCCAAAGAAACGGAGGAATCTAAAGAATCATAAAAATTTAAAGTTTCTGATGGACAACTTGAAAAATGGGAATATACCTGAAAAATAAGATAATCCTGTGTAATAGGCTTTTGTAAAAGGATTGAACTCGCAGCAAATCTCTCGTTTCTTATTCCTAAAAATTAACTTCAAAAACCTGATTTTTCCTACTTACTTGCTCATAAAACAAACACTAGGTGACCAAAAGCACAAAGAAGGAAATGGTTCCAATATACACTGTGTCCAAGATAAGGATGTCTACCATGAGGATCCCGGAAACCATAGAAGATATTCAAGTTAGGAAAAATTTGCGCTATTAAAGAGTAAAGTAAAGAAAACCAGAAAATTCAGATTGCTTCCGAAGATATGCCAAAACAACCGAAATTGCCGATTTCGTTTTAATTTTTTTCTGTCATTTGAACAGATACAAAAAATAGCCTCCCATTGCCTATAACGTTAGGGTTGTAAATCCTAATTCTCGCCCAAGCATTAAAGTAAATTCGGTCGGGAAGTTGTCCAATCCACACTCGCACTTGGTACCTTTACGCCTAGTCCCAGACTAAGCCTACAGTGACGTTATAGAGACAGTGGCGACAACAGGGTATCTCGTTTTTGATTGGTCGTTGGTTCCGGTCGCCATATTGGAGCTAATTCCAAACTGGCCAATAGAAAGCCTCCAAAACGACGCGGTACACTCCGAGCTATAATTGATTAATTAATTTCTGCGCCATTAGTTTTGAACGAGAATCTTTACTTAAATGAAAGTGACATTTATTATTCTACGGGCACAATTTGACATGGCAAGGTATATTGATCCTACAATCAATTTATTGGCTCCAATATGGCGGATTATGATAAGTTGTCGCCACTGTCCTTATAAAGTCACTGTAACTAAGTGAGTGCCGAAGCATGCGAAGTTACTAAACCAAACTTTTTTCACTCTAATGGGTCATGTTTTTTTCAACTGCGGCCATTTACACTAATCTCGGAGTATTCCAACAATCAAGTTTAACCTTCTTTTGTTCACTAACGGCGACAAAGCTATAGTATATTGAAAGACAAGTGTTACAATGCGACCTATTGTAATACGACTATCTTGTGGCACGAGTGGCGTAGCGAAGCGGAGCCACGAGTGTCCACAAGATAGGAGTATTACAATAAAGCATTGTAACACGTGTTTTTCATACTATTTTTTCTATTTCGGGGCTTTAATTTAATTAAAAAGTAATTATGAAAAACTACAGGAAACTTTAGAATTAATATGT